AGAGGCCAAGCTGTCTAGCCCAGTCCTCATATGGTGCGTTTTCTCACAATTGTCAGCGCTGAAAATGTCATAAGCCTTTCAGGACGATTATGCTGTGAACATCGCAATGTGCACTTAGGGATAATTGTTATACCTTTTAGATGTTTTTATTTTTTATTTTTTATTTATTTACTTATTTATTTTTGTCTTTTTCCATGTCCAGCAACGGATTGCAACCCTCAGTGTCGTCCCCGTACCGGACTGGGACCGGCAATGGGATCGCAACCCTCGGTGTTGCTCCCGCACCTCGCTCAGCCAGTGAGCGGGAACCGGTCTGTATGTGGGATCTGAACCCTTGGCGGGAGCGCAGCCGCACTTCCCAAGCGGCGCACTAGCGCAGTGCGCCACCGGGCCGGCCCTTAGATGTTTTTAAAATGATGTACTTTCCAGTGACGACATCGAAAACAGATTCAAATAGAACTGTACCTCAAGTCATCTAGGTTGAAGTGAACAAGAAACTGTACTAAAGTGGCTTTAGGAATGACAAATGTGAATGCTGAAGATGAATGGAAAGAGTTTGAATATAATTACTTCATGAAATGCGAATGAACAAGTCAATACTTCTAAGTATATTATTTTATAAATTATGTGACTGTAAATATGTCTTATAAAGAGACATTGGACTACTTCATCTATGTTACTAAATGTTTTCAGAATCAAGTTGGCTAAATCCTTCTTTTGGGGATGGGGTAGATCTTCCCATTGGGACGTGAGAAATCATCTCATGTGGGAGTCACATTATTTGGGTATGTTCTAGAGAGCAACAAATTGCTGCATCTGTATGTGATGAGGTCTGGTGCGCCACAAAAGGCAAAGAGAAGCAATGATGTGAAATCCAATCTTGAAATTCCACCCCGCCTTCCGTTCCTTGCCAGGTACTCCACTTGTTTCACTGCGTGAAACTTGAGGCTCATTTCAGCCTGAGCAGAAGGGCTCCTCATCACCTTTTGAATCGAGAGTAAAGAGGAGCCCCTTCAAAAATTTTATCACTTAAAACTCAGGAAGCAATGTACCAACATCCAGTACTGGCAGAGCAGTTCGTTGTAATAACACCAATAATACTGTACAGGTACTGAGTGCTTACCAGGCAATGTGCAAAGTGCTTTACATGTAATGATCACAATTTGTTATCCTCATCGTAGAGGTGTGGAAACTGAGTAGCAGATGATGTAGCTTACCCAGGTCCCACGCTGTAAATGTCCTACAGTGGTAAATGACAGGGAGAGGATTCAAGCCCAGGCAGTCTACCGCCAGAGCCCGTACTTTAATGCATGACGCTAGACCACTTCAATGACAACATGATCTAAAAGAGAGGATGAACCTTTCCGGGGATCCTTTCTACTATCCACAGCTCCTCTCTTCCAGGATTGGCATCGGAGAAACCAAATTAGTCACCTGTGATAATCCTGGATTCTAAATACACCATTCTAGAAGAACAATTGCTTCTCCTCACGGCCAAATCCAAGTGCCATTTTATTCCTTTCTTTGTATACTCGTACACTTTTGGATATCTGAATCGCAATTATTACTCCTATGTTGTAAATGCCTCCTTTGGCTAACAAAAATCCTCCTCTTTCGCGACTCTCTTCCATCTTCAGTGTTCACTCCTAATTTTCCTTCATTGTTCCTCTGTCTCCTCTTAAGTCAGCACTTGCTGAGGTTTCTACTCTGCAGCCTTGGTAATCTCATCTGTGTTCAAAGTTTTGCTTTCAGAATTTATATTTCAAATTTCTCTTCTAAACTTCAAAATCATAGTTCCAGCTGTTCACTGGGACTGTTGGACATCTCCACTTGCATCTCACATTCAACAGGTCCCCACAGGAACTCCTTCCCTTTGCCCACTGCCAGCCTTGTTCCCAAATCTCATCCTTCTTTAATAGACCTCATTTCCTTTAATGGCATCACTGTCTAACCAATTTCACAAACCTGAAGCCTTGGATCCAACTTGGACTCTGCCTTCTGTCTCACAGTTTTCCCTCACTGGTATTCCTGACACACACTCATTGGAGCACCAAATTCTTTAGATTTTACCTTCTAAGTGTCTATGCAATCTGTTTCTTTGCTGTTTCCACCATCAAGATGAAAACCTTCATCATCTCTTACCTTGATTATTGCAATGGCTGTTTATCTCCTAGCTCCATTCCATCCCCCAAGTCCTTGAGTGAGCGACCTTTCTAAAACATGAGTCCGATCATGCCCACCCCTACTTACAAACCATAGCAACCCTTCTTTGCCTACAGGGCACCATCTTAACTGCACAGCCTGGCACGTAAGGCCCTTCACAACCAGATTGGTGTCTACATTTCTAGTCTCACTTGTATCTCCTTCTCACCCCTTTTCTGGTCATACCTCCCTCTATGAACTAAGATCCAGACCGCTGGAGACACCTGCCACATTCTCTCACACCAAGCTATGAGCTTCTAAAGGGAAGCCTTTGTCTCTTACCGATCTCTGGGCGTCTGAGTTCATTGTACCTGTACTGATGGCTTCAGACTTTTTAAAGAAATGTAGTTCCAGGCCTTTTAAGGCACTTTACAACAATCTTTCATCCTTTTAACAACTCTGCAAGGTGGCACAGTACTATTGCCTCTATTTAACAGACAAAGGAGCAGATTCCAAGCAGTTGAGGAGCCTGAAAGGTTGCTAATAAGGAAGTAGGAAGTGAATGAGCCAAAATTTGAAGCCAGATCAGGCTGACTCTAAAGCCTGTGCTTTAGCTGAGACCAACCCTGAAAGTTTTACTGATTACCTCTTTTACCATAATTTCACCTGCAAGGGAAAAACCAGGAAGCAACATGATTGCTGTAGGCTCTCATACATGCAGCCCACAGGACCCTCACTCAGATGCCAGCCACTTTGGAAAACGGCAAGTACTCTATTTTTAGTCTAGCACATCCCAGCATTTCATAAATGGAAAAGCAGGTGTGCTCTACCCTAACATCAAACTTTTCATGTTCTCACTGAACCCCCACACGAAGCCCTTTGAGAAGGGAGCATAATATCCTAGGCAGTCTGTCTCCAAGGAAAGTGAAAGTCTAGAAATGAGCCTGAACACTGCTTCTGACTTCGTGGTCTATATGGAATGCTTAGAAGTTGGTCCTTCCTTGAGAAGTTCCGGCTCTGTCCTCTTGAGTCTAATTTTATTAAACAATTGATAGCATCCTATATACTTATTTTTGTAATCTAATAGTAACACAAATACACACACACACACACACACTCAACTATAGCCAAGGGGAAAACTGCTTCAATAATTACTTATCATGTAAAAAATATGTACCTTGTTTCCTTATTACTTTTATAATGTGGTCAACAAAAATTTGGCCTAAGAACCCCTGGATCAAGTGCCAGTTTCGTCTCTGCCAATAGCTGCCTGTGTGGCCTTGAACAAATACACTTCCATTTTCTCATTTTTTAACACTCAACTATAGCCAAGGGGAAAACTGCTTCAATAATTACTTACCATGTAAAAAATATGTACCTTGTTTCCTTATTACTTTTATAATGTGGTCAACAAAAATTTGGCCTAAGAACCCCTGGATCAAGTGCCAGTTTTGTCTCTGCCAATAGCTGCCTGTGTGGCCTTGAACAAATACACTTCCATTTTCTCATTTTTTATATCAAGGTATTCTAGGTAGTTGATCCATAAGCAGTTCTTAATTCTAATATTCAAAAACTATTCTTACTTTTAGAATGTTTCCCACTAGGCTAAGACTAGTTATACTAACCTTAAGGGAACCTGCCCTACATGACCATTTCATATACATATATATATATTTTTTTAACTTTTTTATTGTATATATTTATGGTATACAACATGTTTTGATACACTTACACATAGTGAAATAGTTACTATAGTAAATTTAATTAACATATCCATTATTTCACATAGTTACCCTTTTTTGTGTGTGGCAATCTCACATGATTTTTAAAGTGGTAGTCAGAGATGATGGGTTGGAATTTAATTCCAAGATAATTTTAGAAAAAAAGGACTGTATCAATGCATTCAAACACATGCTCCAATATTATTCATGACATTCAAATACAAGTCAGGCCAGCACCATACAGACTGCACAATAATACATACATTATTGTGTAATATAACATCTAATACAATTCCATGTGCACGTGAATACTGTCTCATGTTTATGCATGTACCTGTGTGAAAATGACTTTTGGCCCTGCATCTATCGAAATGATTTTTGAAATTCCATCAGGTGCTGGAGGCAATACAAACACAAAGATTCAGGATACTTATACAGGCAATAATTAATAGAAATAAGTGACAAGGAAAACACCCGCTACGTGTGGTCATAGCTGACCCATGCATACAGTAAAGAGTTACTAGGTTCTCACAATTTTGTTTGCATGAACTTAACTTCTCACACATGACAGCCACTGGGTGCCCTAGATAAGATCAATTGATATATGACATAGGCGCCCAGTAAACGCCTGTTGGACGCTTATTACATGAAAATACTCTGAAAAGTAACATTATGCAAAAGTTAAAGAGTATGGCTAATATCTTAAGGTTCATTTTCCATCCCAAAGATGAAATATGAATTACAGAAGGCTTATTGAAAAGGTTCCTTTTCGGTCTTTGTGGTGTTCAGTCACATAAAATATTTTCACCAAAATCCCTTAATGAAAACATACATTGCGAAAATAATTAGTACACCCACATATTACTGATTAAAAAGGGGCCCTTGGGTCAAAAGAAGAAATCAAGAAGGAACACTCCGAGAGTAAGGAAAAGCCTGACTTGGCACAATCTATTGCCTTCTCGTTTTCAAACTCGACAGCTTATTTTTCTATTACACCGATCTCTAGAGAAGCCCCAGATCGGGGAGAAGGGAGCTCGAAATGGGTGCCGACAGCGCGCAGCCGCGGAGGTGCGCTCGGCAGCAAAAGGCCAGTTCCCAGCCGAGGGCCGAGACGGTCCCTCGCGGACGCCGACTCACCTTCCCTCCTGGAGGTGGCCCGGGCTGCAGGCAGGAGCAGCGAGAGGCAGAGGCAGCCGCTCAGCCAGAGCGCACGCATGGCCGCGCCGCGCTGTCGCCGTCGCCGCTGCAGGGGTCGCTGCCCGGCGCCCGGCGGCTGAGGGCTCCCCCTGAGGTCCGCGGTGTCTTGCTCTTCCTCGATCAGGTGGTTTTATGGCCTCTTCTACCTGACTCAGTCCTGACAGGAAGACAGCCCGTGTTTCAGGGTGTGACTCACCTGTGGATAAGGAGGACCCAGCCCTGCCGAGGCAGACACGCACACGCGGCGCACCAGCCCTAACGCGCTCCCGCGGCCCGTAATAACTTCGTATAGCATACATTATACGAAGTTATCGGCAGCCGCTCAGCCAGAGCGCACGCATGGCCGCGCCGCGCTGTCGCCGTCGCCGCTGCAGGGGTCGCTGCCCGGCGCCCGGCGGCTGAGGGCTCCCCCTGAGGTCCGCGGTGTCTTGCTCTTCCTCGATCAGGTGGTTTTATGGCCTCTTCTACCTGACTCAGTCCTGACAGGAAGACAGCCCGTGTTTCAGGGTGTGACTCACCTGTGGATAAGGAGGACCCAGCCCTGCCGAGGCAGACACGCACACGCGGCGCACCAGCCCTAACGCGCTCCCGCGGCCGCCGCTCCCCCTCGCGCGAGCAGGGCGCGCACCTGGCCAGGGCCCAGGGGGTGGCGCAGGCGCTGCGGCCCGGGAGCCTTCTCCTGAAAGGTGCCAGATCCCCCAGAGCCCTCTTTCTCCTCCGGGGTGGTCCGGGGCAGAATCCACAGACGCAGACAGCAGCCCGCGCCTTCCTCCAAGGGGGAGGCCCAGTCTCAAGTGCGCAAACTCAGAAATAGTCTGCAGCCTCCATCAGCTCTGGTCTGAAAGACATCCAGGAAGACTGGGCAATCACAGAGTCACAACAGGGTCCTCGCCACTCTCCCGCCTAGGGTCAACCCCTCTGGAAAACAGCAGCCTTACCCCAGCCCACCCACTCTGATTAAACCTCATTCTTTCTCTCACCATGACCAGGCTAGACCAAGAGTTCCTCTCCTGGGTCCCTGTGACTTCCTGATGGCCTGGGCTAGCAGTCCATTAAGTCACTTGTTGAGTGGTCAGCCATCCTATGAAGGCTGAGTATCACTCTGAATCCCTGTCTATTAGTACAGTATTCAGTCGGTGCTCAATGAATGTTCTCTAGATAGTCCTATGGTTAACAACAGCATAAGGTAACGAGCAAACAGTACAAGATGTGCATAGCACTGAAGGGTGTAACAATGTTAGTTCATGCCATGGAGACCAGTGTGGGCAGCCTGGGAGAGCTGGGGATGGCTTTCTGCAGGTCATGAATTGGGTATTCAGGAATAGCTGGGATCTGAAAACAGCACCAAAGAACAGCAGGAGCAAGGCAGGTTACTGCAAACTGGCTGACACCTGCTCTAACATCAATAGCGACAAAAACAAGGGAGGGAAAGGAAAGTCCTATGTTCTCACCCCAGGCTTGATTCTCATCTATTCCGCCCATGATTCAAACAAATAACGTAAAGATTCTCATCTCTCAAAACTCAAAGTGTCCAGTTACTGCTAAAGTTTCGGTTCACAGTGACTGAGTATGTAGAATTTTCCCTTTTAGTAATGCATTGTGGAGGCCGAGATCCATCCCTGAGTCTCACACTCCTTTGCACGTCTACCCATCGTATTGTGCACTGCCCAACAGTGCTGCAGGGACAAGGAACAGGGGTCCTGCAAAATAAAGTCTGGAAGGTAAATTTTATTTTAGTACAGATTGCTGCAATTTATTATATATCAAAAGTTGGAACAGATATTTTCATCTACCATCACTTTAGACAGTGGCAGAAATAATAGCAAACACTATGTAATACCTCACTATTTGTCAGCCACGGTTGTAAATCCTTTATACATATTAACCCTTTAATCTTTAAAACAACCCTACAAATTAGGTGGACTATTAATTTCCCCATTTTACAGATGAGAAAACACAGGCATGAGAAGGTCAAGTAACCTGTTCAAAGTGGCACTGCTAGAAAGTGGCAAAAGCCAAGATTCAAAACCAGACAGTCTGGCACCACAGTGTTCATAAACACTTTGTTAGGTCAGATTAAAAATCACCATAAAAAAAAAACAAATTCACAATACTGAATAAATTCAACAGGTAGTCTAAGCTTATTTATTAATGGCCATTACAATCCGGACAGTTTGTGGACCACTGGCATACATTGATAAAGCCAAGTCACAAAGGACTCTGAACAAATATTTCTGATTTTCCCAAGGTATTAGCTCTTAAAGGACCCCCAGGGGTCACCTGGATTAGGGGTAGCAAATGGGCAGCAGGCCTCTGGGCATCAGACCAACCAGCAGCCTCCGCTATACGAACAGTACAGGCTTTTTTTTTTTTTTCCTTTTTGTCTTTTTTCGTGACCAGTAACGGGATTGCAACCCTCGGTGTCGCGCCCGCACCGTGCTCAACCAGTGAGCGGACCAGTCTCTATATGGGATCTGAACCCTCCGTGGGAGCGCCGACGGGCTCCCAAGCGCCGCACTCTACCGAGTGCGCCACCGGGCTGGCCCCAGTACAGGCTTTTAAACTTTTTTAAAAAGCAAATGTCTTTAGGAGGGACTCTCCAGCTTCCTCAGTCTCCACCTATTCTCATTGCCTTATCCTGGATCTCTTCACACATCTGAGCAACCTGTCTGGCTCAGCCTTGAGGCCCCTGCTGGCTTCATCCCCTACCTTGCTCAGGGACAATATCAACCCCCTTTACCAATTTGAGAATTCTGTCCTAGTGCCTTGCTGGTTAAGAGCACTCCAGTAGTCAAAAGTCAAGGCTCTGCAATAAAGTCCCAGAGCTAAATCCTGGCTTCACCATTCATCCAGGCATGTTACTTAGTGTTCTCTGATCCTCAGTTGCTTCATCTGGAAAATGGGGATAATAATATAACACTTACCTAGTAGGGTTTTTGGGAAAAATAAATGAGTTAATGACCTACCTATGTTCAGAAAAGCATAGGCACATAATATGCACTATATAAGTGTAGCTACAGTAATAACAGTAATTGTTGTTGTTATTGTTAATCATCACTGACTAAGCACCAGTCAGTTTTTCCTTGTTATATTACTAACAAATACCATATGAGAAAGATAGGATTTTTGCTTCAACCCTTCAACTAGTTGATTATTTAATCATAATTTTAAACTTTTTCAGAACTCTTGGCCTAATCTGCATTCATGTCCAGATTACCAACATTTATTTGGAAGGTGTTAATTAATTTATATTTTTGCTATGTATCTGGGAATTTCCTTCACATACAGATTTTCTTGCCCAATGTTTCAAAATTTTTGCATTTAAAACTTCAGTTTAGGCCAGCCCGGTGGCGCAGTGCGCCACTTGGGAGCGCGGCGGCGCTCCCGCCCGAGGGTTCGGATCCCACATACAGACCGGTTCCCGCTCACTGGCTGAGCGAGGTGCGGGCGCAACACCGAGGGTTGCGATCCTGTTGCTGATCCCGGTCCGGTCCGGGCGCGACACTGAGGGTTGCGATCCGTTGCCGGACACGGAAAAAGACAAAAAAAAAAAAAATAAATAAAAATAAAATAAAAGACTGATGAGTAAATTTTTACACCTTCAGAGTTTCAGGTGATAACTAAAATCTAAATCAAGTCTTGTAGTTAGATGGAGATATGGGATTACACGGCTGAGAAAGTGAAGTGGAAGATAGGCAAATCTGACAAATTAATCAGTGAAAATAAAAGGAAGCATTAACAAGATCTAGTAGCAGAAAGAAACTAAAAGTTTTATTGTCTGATTCAAAATAAGGGAGTCCAGCCATGCCTATATACAGAAAGGGGGAGGAAACCAATAAGCAATCAGGAGAAAGAGGTTGAATTAAATAAATAAATAAGGTGTGTTGGGATCTTATATTTTAGGGAAAAGGTAAAGGTAAGATGGACTGAAATATATTCTTAGGATAAATTTTAATGAACACATACTTTTCAAAAGCATATGACCCAAATAAATATTTTTTTTCCAATCCAACAAAAGTCAACTTGATACTACTCATTAATAAAAAGGAATAAACTACTGATACGTACACAATATGGATGAATCTCAAAGCGTTGTGCTAAGTCAAAGAAGACAAACGCAAAAGACCAGATTCTATGTGATTCCATTGATAAGAAATTGTAGAGGGCCGGCCCGGTGGCGCACTCGGTAGAGTGCAGCACCTAGGAGTGTGGCGGTGCTCCCGCCGAGGGTTCGGATCCCATATACAGACTGGTCTGCTCACTGGTTGAGCGCGGTGCAGTAGAGTGCAGCACCTAGGAGTGTGGCGGTGCTCCTGCCGAGGGTTCGGATCCCATATACAGACTGGTCTGCTCACTGGTTGAGCGCGGTGCGGGTGTGACACCGAGGGTTGTGATCCCGTTGCTGGTCGCGGTACGGACGCGACACTGAGGGTTGCAATCCCGTTACCGGTCACGAAAAAAGACAAAAAAGGAAAAAAAAATTGTAGAAAGGTAAATCTACAAGGCAAGAAAGCAGGTCAGTGATTGCAGGGGTCGATCCTGTTGCTGGTCACGGTACGGACGCGACACTGAGGGTTGCAATCCCGTTACTGGTCACGAAAAAAGACAAAAAAGGAAAAAAAAAAATTGTAGAAAGGTAAATCTACAAGGCAAGAAAGCAGGTCAGTGATTGCAGGGGTAGGGACTGGCTGCAGAGGGACATGGGGATACTTTTTTGGGATGAAAGAAATATTCTGAAATATGATTGTGGTCAAAAGTAATCATATTGTACATTTAAAAGTGGTGAATTTCATTATATATAAATTATACTTCAATAAAACTGGCATAAAAAAGAGAAAAATCTCTAAAGATCTATTTTATAATTAAGATGACACTTCGATTAAAATGCGCAAACTCAAATTGACCACTGAAAACAAACCAGTGTCTGCATTAGTTATGACAAAGCCACAGCTCAGAGTCCAGCCCTGACATCTCTGCTGGTTCCGACTAGCTCTAAACTGTGATCTCAGGTCTTTAGGC